AGATACATTAATTTTTGTTGCAGTTTTTTGTTTTGTTTTGTTTGGCAGAACTGAGGATTGAACTCAGGCCCTTGCACTTGCCAGGGAAGTGCTTATTCCGCTGAGCCATCTGGGCCCCCACATTAATTTTTAAGTTACTGAGAATATTTTTTTTGCTGGTTCAAATAAAAGAGATTTTAACTGCAGTAACATAAATCTGGTGCATGTTATGCAGTGACAGAGAAATGTGCACATCATACGCATAGCTATAAGTTTACTAGTTCCCAAAGTCAAACAGGTAAATAAATGACAAATGAAAGCCATGTCCGATGCAGACAGAAACCTTCTAGTTATTAAATTAAAAAGCATGACAGCTATGCCAGCAATGATACTTAGAAAAACTTTCAGCTATTAGAAAATATCATATTTAATCCAAAGGAACCCCTTTGCCCCCATAAGAATAAGTGTGGGAACCATCCTTTGCAATAGCTTTTAAATAATAATAAAACCATGATTACAGGCATAGATCCTGCGTGATCTAGACAACATAGTACAGCGGTCTGCTTCTGCATGACTAGGATTTCAGTCTCCATATGAGGAGACCGACAATCACAGCTCCAATGACAAGGACAACAATGATGATGCACAGGGTTTTCCTGGATTTGCGCTGATAATTTGCTGCCCTGGACAGCTGCTGATTTGCCTGCTGAACATGCACCTCTGCGCTCTCTACATTGGCTTCTATACTGTCTATCACATCTCCCTGTTCATGAATCATTGTTCCTAAGTGTTTAAATATTTCATTAATATCCATAATATCAGCCTCAAGCTGCCTGATAGAAGACTCTCTCTCATGAATGAGGTGGAGGTCATCTTCTGTAATCTCATCATCTTGCACTTGTACTTGAGGCTGTGTTTGGCTTTCCCAGGATACAAGATTCCTTTCTTTTGAGTTGTCCTCAGGAAAACCACCCAACACTCTGGAACTGGCTCTTACTTGGGCCACAAGTTCCTTCTCTCTCTCAGTGGCTTGCTGCTGGACCTTCTGAAAGTTTGTCAGTGCTGCTGTGAATTCAGCCACTAAGCGATCCTTCTGTATTTTCCTTTGACGCTGTTCATTGGGGGTGGTGGGTAGAGATCCAAACTCTTTAATGTACTTATCTGTTTCTTTGGCAAGTTGGTTAGTATACTGCTTCTTCTGTTGTAGGTGTTGCCTCAATTCAGGTGAGTCTTGAGGCGTTCCAAGTTGATTCAGTGTCCTTTGTATTTCCACAGACACTGTGTGATCTTCTGGATGTTGGAAGAGATGCGCCGGGCCGGCTGGACAGGGTCCCCACCGATCCCTGGAGTGTAAGTCATGGCTGGCTTGCTGATTCACTAATTTCATCAGATGTTGGTAGGCTGTGCAGTATTCTAGGCAGTCACCCCGGCCTCCTTGTTTTTCTCCTCCTCAGACGCCCACAGATACCCACAGGGCCCCCAGCTCTGAGAGGCCAGATTTTTCTTTTTGAGGCATAAATTAATGCAAACATGTTAAGAAAGTATTCCAGATTCTCAATGCAATTTTATCTTTAGTATCAAAAGACCGCTAAATGTAGGCTCAGTGTATTGTTTTACAATCACTACATCAACATCACACAAGCCATTGAATTATTGCCTAATTGTACCATTATTTGCAATAAAGGGACATTGTAAGGTAAGAGTGATAGGTTATGGCCCTAGTAAGAATTGCTGAATTATTATGGTGGTCGTCTTATTATGGCTGAAGTCCTTAAAACAACAGCTTATCTTCCCAATGACCACTTCCTCCTCCTTCCTCACTCCAGCCCTGGGTACAACTTCCTATGACCTTTCCCGCCCATACATGGGAGCCTCCAATCAGCTCCTTATACGTCATTAAACCCACCCCTCAAGCCCCGCCCCTGCAAAAGTCCATAGAGTCTCAGGCTCCCTCTCTCAGGTCAGAGGATCTGACCATCTCCCAGCCCTTGGTCCTCTCTGTGTGTTTAGAGTCAATAAAGGCTTTCCCTCCCCCATTTGTACTTCTCTGCTGCACTGCCACCACCGCCTCCATCGCTGTTGCCTCGAAACCTATCAAAGAGTACCAGGAAAATGTCTTTTGCATTTGAGGTAAAAATAAAAAAGCTATGGATGGGCCGGCAAGATATCTCAGCAGACTAAGCACCTTAGACAAGTGCAGGGACTGGGGTTTGATCCCTGGTACCACTGTCCTTGCTGGCCCTGCCACTGGGTGCACTGAGCCAGCCACAGAGTCTGGGCATGGTTATCCCAGGGTTGGGGAGGCTGAAAACAGGAGGATCACTGTGAGTCTGAGCTGCACGGTGAGACCCTGTACCAAATACATAAAACAAGAAAGAAAGAAAGAAAGAAAGAAAGAAAGAAAAAAGAAAGAAAGAAAGAAAGTAAGAAAGAAAAAGAAAAAGAAAAAATAGCTATAAAGGACATTTGCCACAGGCTGTGGCCACACAGGCATCCAGCGCTTGGCATTGCTTCAGCTGTGGGTCACTCTTGAAGTGTGTGTCCTGGGGCTGTTGATAAGGAGCCGCCAGCCACCAGTGCCTTCTTGCATTCAGCTTCTCTAGCATAGTGGCCTTCAGTGGGAATGGCAGGGCATGCTCCTTGCAAGTGCCATGTCAAGGGTCTTCATAGTGACGCAGTGCTGGGGAGCTTAATTCCATTGTGGAGGAGGAACTGACTGACTTATCTGCACAGAGCCTTGCTGCTCTGGGCCTTTCCTGACCGAGGGCTCAACAAGGTGGCTCCAGCCTGCATCTTCCTGTGTGCAGCCTCCTGCATATCTCTCCTGAGGCCGGCGGACAGCTGTGTATTTTGACCCATTTGGTCAGGAATGAAATAGGAAAGTTCAGAGTTTTTCATGCTATCTGCACTAATAACAGTTTGTTTCTTTCTGTAGGGAAGTTGGAAAGGATGCTCCAGGAGAATTATAGAAAAGCATGGAACAAAATAATTTTTCCTAAAAACTTAGAAAATTGATTCTACGTGACAAGGAACCATCAAAGTTGGGCATAAAGAAGACATGTATTGAAGTGTCAGCGCTCGTGGGTAACAACTGGTTGCTTTGGTTGTTTTGTGTCTCTAATGTATGTCTGTGATGAGGAGTGATGAGGGGTTGAGACCCTGGGCAGCATATGGTGGTTGTGAGTCCCAACAGTGGTGAGCATTTACTCATTCATTCTCTCTAAACCTCAGACTTCCAATCTGTGAAATGCTGATAAAAATAGCATGAACTTCAAGGTTAGTGAATGCCGGAAGGCAACAGAAATAGTAGGTTGTATTCACAAAATTAGTTATGAATATTCCTTAGCCTGCTCTTAGCCCTCAATAAATGTGAGAAGTTCCAGTGAGTGCAACTGGACCGTTGCTTAATTCACTCACAGCATATGGTTGTGAGTCCAACAGTGATGAGTATTTACTCATTCATTCTCTCTAAACCTCAGACTTCCAATCTGTGAAATGCTGATAAAAATAGCATACGCTGAATAAGTTGTGGGGAAATGAGATAACATTTGTAAAATATTGAGGATAAAATATTCTACGCATCTTACACCTGCAAAGATGAGGTTGGTGGATTACAACACTGAGATCAGCCTGAGTTACCTAGGGAGATCCTATCTCCAGAAAAAAAGAGTGGGGAGGTGGATTTCATAAAGTAAAACACTCACATCAGAAGCGTCAGCTGTGCTGAATAAGGCATTGGCATAGCACCCAGAACTAACAATATAAGGCACCAGGACGCACTTCTTGCTCTCCTCAGTCCCACAGAGGAGAGTGGTGGTCCAAGAGCATCACAAACCAGAGTTCTGCACATAGGCAGAGGGTTGGAGCAGGAGGCTGTAGAACAAGGACGGCACAGGCACTCTGAGCTCTGGTGTGGAAACTGGATGGAGTTGGGAGGAAATCCAGGAAAGAATTAAGCAACTGTCTAGATTATAGAGAAATGTGCAGATAGGCATGGAGGCCGGTCATTATGGAGCAGAGGAAGTGTGGTTGGCTCAACAAAAATGTTGCCTTTATAGGATTTATTGACAATGTGGAACCAGGTGTAGTGGTGTGTGGTGGTGTATGGTGGTGCGTTGTATGTTATCAGTTGGACCTGAAAGACATGGCAGGAAGCAAAGAGCAAGCAACAGAGCCCAAGGAGACCTGTTGTCAATTGTAAATTCTGGCAAGCTGGGGTACAAGGCCACAGAGAACAGCATTTCTTGGAGACACCCTGTCTGTTCTTATTCTTCACCTGGGATGTTATCATTGGCTAGTATTGCATGAACTTCGAGTTTAGTGAATGCCGGAAAGCAACAGAGATAGTAGTTTGTATTCACAAAATTAGTTATGCATATTCCTTAGCCTGCTCTTAGCTCTCAATAAATGTGAGAAGTTCCGGTGAGTGCAACTGGACTGTTGCTTAATTCTTTCCTGGATTTCCTTCCGACTCCAACCAGTTTTCACACCAAAGCTCAGAGTGCCTGTGCCATCCTTGTTTCTGGGGCCTCCTGCTCTCGCTCCGACCCTCTGCATATGTCCAGAACTCTGGTATGTGATGTTCTTGGACCACCACTCTCCTCTGTGGGACTGAACGCAACAAGGACTAATATAGCCTCAGAGGTCTCACAGAGCTTAGTCCTGCTCATAGTGTGACCCGAGCCACTGGAATTTCTCACATTTATTGAGGGCTAAAAGCAGGCTAAGGAATATGCATTACTAATTTTGTGAATACAAACTACTATCTCTATTGCCTTCTGGCATTCACTAAACTCAAAGTTCACACAATGATAACATCCCAGTTGAAGAATAAGAACAGACAGGGTGCCCCCAGGAAATGCTGTTCTCTGTGGCCTAGTACCCCAGCTTGCCAGAATTTACGAGTGACAACAGGTCTCCTTGAGCTCTGATTTTTCTCTTTGCTTCCTCAGGACGTCAGGCTTCTCTCTTCTCACTGCAGTGGTGCACACCTGTAATCCCAGTACTCAGAAGCTGAGGCAGGAGGATTGCTGTGGTTTGTGGCCAGCCTGAACTACATAGTCAGACCCTGTCTCCAAAAGCAAAATCAAAACCTAGAACAAAAGCAAAACTAACTTAAGTGAGTGGATTGGATAACAAAGGAAGAGTTGTTTTAAATTCTCTTCTTGCCTTTCAAAAAATATTTCAGGGAATCAAGTAGTTACTGGATTAAGAATTCTTGTTGATTCTGGGCCCATATCTGGTTTGAACAGACCTGGTTAAATGCTCTGAGAGGTTGCGCTCACTGGTGAGCACAGGGCCTGCTATACTGCTCCCTTCCAAAACTGGAGAAGAACATTGAAATCAGCCACAATGCTGAGCACACTTGCTCCTTGTGCTGCAAAACCACTATGAGACAAGATGTGGGAATGTGGTGCTGGTTCATGCATGAAGAGTAGTACCTGGGCCCCAACACCACTCCCACTATCACCACAGTGAGGGAACTGAAATTCCAACAGCAATGCTGTCGTCTGAGACATCCTTGGTCTATGATGCACGGGCTAAATTGTGTAATAACGTTATCAGAAGAGCTCCTCTTGACCTTATAGAATCAAGCATGACAGAGCAGCCTTGGCCTATTTGTCATTATGAATAATTAGATGTAAAGGCATTGGCTAATTGATATGATCAAGACAGAAATACATTTGGGAGAGGGCACATTGGATGTGAGGATTCTCAGACGTGGAGAGCATTATAGTTGTGCTACAGATTGTCTGTAGCCATGGGGAAAGAATTCCTGGTATCTCAGGGAATTAGAGCTGCACTGTGTCACCTTTCCAAAGTCCTGAACAGTATGTAATATATATATGCTGAGCTATGTCCCCAGCCCCTCACTGCATGTAATATTGCAGCACGTACTACATTGGGACCCTCATCACAGCATGAGAATTTATTCAATGCATTTTATTCAAAGGTGTGTTTCTGCATGAGTACAGTCCTGCTGGGCCAGCCATGACAGATGGGGAAGAGCTCTCAATCTGGTTATTGAAAAGAAAGAACAAGTTCCAGGAAGGACTTACTAAACTCCTTTAGTTGACGGCATTCACTTGAGAGAGAAAAGAGTTTCAAGTCATTTCTGCACTCTGTGGTACTGCCCAGAGGGAACCAGGCAGGCGCCAAGCGATGTACCTGACACCCCTTTGTGGACAGCTGGTTCTGGCCATGAGCAGAGAGTGAAGAAGTGCTCGCACTTCTGCCCACCACCTCCTTCCAATCAGCGTTCTCAAGTCCCCGCTGCCCACAGACCAGTGACCCAACTCCAGTCCTGCCAAACTAGGCTGGGGTCCAGGGACAATTCAACTTAAGCCAGTACTGACACAGGCTCTCATTTTGGAGTCAAGCCTTCACTGTCCTCTAGTCAACCTCCTACCAGTTAGTACACAGAGATAG